TTTTTTGCATTTGGTGTTAGCATTTGCCCTAATCATTGCTGTTTAGCTGATAAAAATGGCATCGGGAGCTTAAAAAGAAATATGCATTAAAAGACATCCCTTTAAGAGCACAGTAAATTTTGTAGATTTTCTACAGGAAATTGATATAAGGTTGTCTTTTTACAAAATTTGCCAAAAGCATTCCAGTTCCCTGAACTAAAGGACTGGAAAGCTACTATTTGGAAAAATCATTTAACGACATATTCCCTTACGCAGCAGAGTAGATTGTAAAGTTAATTTAAAAAATCACTATAAAATTGTTTAAACAAATTCCTTTTATAGTTTGTTCTCAACAGTTAAATGATGAAAAATCATTTGAGCGACATTTAACCTTTCCCTCATATAGACGTGTTTTGACGGCTTTTCGAGCCCTTTCGAGGCCTCAAACAGTGATAAATGCCTTATTTAGGCCCAAAACACTGTTTTTCGTTTGGGAAATGTTGATAAAAAGTAATCACTTTGTCGGCGCCGCCCCCTATCAAAAAGGTACATCAGGGGGTTGCCAAAAAAGGGATGTGCCCCCTTCTGTTTCGAGGGTTTCAAGGAGACGGCAGCCCCCCTCATTGCCAAGAAATGTGACAGGCTAAAAATGGTCTTAGGCCAATCGTTAGGTAACGTGTAACCAACGCCGAAAACCTTTTTACTCTATCTCAATCCATTGAGAAGTTGAAGCACTTTGAAATCAGTTTGGATGGAAAACAACAATGTAAAATAGTGATGTTGGGCAATTTTACGCCCCCCTTGCAAATGATACAGGAAATTTTAAATTAAGCATGCTGTTACAGAGGCTTTGTTCGAGTCAACATTTCTGCCAAGTGTTATCAGTATTGAAGCATTTTTCATAGTTTCATAGCAGCTTGAACTTGTAACAGGAAGCTTTTCAATGAAAACGGCCATTTTTCACAATATGCTCTTGAATGAAAGGGGTAAACATCGACTTCTGCTGATGTGAAAAGAAAGACAGGTGATCATGATGTTTCTTATGTACCACGATATAGCCGTTCATGATCTTTTGTGTCATTGAGAAATAAAATATAGTGCATTAATACTATTATACAAATATTTGTATATACGATTTCATATGGTATGGTATTTTCTAGTCCAACAGATTTATTTTAGAACTTTTTTATATAATTGAATCTTCTAAGGTACTTACATGTAACACTTTTGATAAACTACATATATATGCGTTAATTAGTTAATCTCCAAGTTTTAAGTTGAATAGATTGTATAATGATAACATCTTTAAAATACAGTAAGCATAATCTTTCAAGTTTAGTATTTATTTTCCAAAAGGAAGTAAAGCCTTTTGCAACTTTTGATAAAGGTACTTGTTATAGACCTTCCATTAGCAGATATGATTGTATTCATTTTTTGCTAAACAAATGCACGATATTCGTCAATTAGTCATTGCCAAAGTTGTCCAAATAAATTAAGATTTTGGATCAATATAATCTATGCCTTGAATCAGCAAAACCTTACACATTCATTTGTTTAGTTTTTATTTTCCGTAAATAAACGATGGATTACAATGGGGAAAGTAAAACCTTTTACAAAAACGTGTTTTGTAAGGGTACGTGTTATTTCCCTTGCAATGTAGATATGTATAACGTTTCCATTAAGGACATACATGTGTTATAGAACAGAGGAAGTGTATATGGCTTTCATATGATTTTCTGTTGTGGATAATTGTTATTGTTATAATGATAGAAAATGTCGAAGATATTGTTTTCCTTACTTTGATGTAGAAGTGCATCACGATGGTTAAGTTATTATCACTTTGTTATTCATTTATGTACTTATTTATGCAGTTATTTATTTATGTATCTCTTTATTCATACAATTATTTATTCATTACTTATTTATTTATTTATTTATTATTTCTATTTTAATAATATTACCATTTCATAAAGATATTTTCTCAAAATAAATTTTTTTATGACTATGATAGAGTTTAAAAATAGTAACTCAAGAAATTTTGAGATGACTGTCCCCTCGTTGAAATGGTAGCATGCCGTTATAGAGACTATGGTCCAGTCTATATTTGTGCCAAGTTTGATCAGTATTTAAGCATCATTTATAGTTTTATAGCAATTTGAACATGTAAAAGAAGGCTTTTCAATAAAAAAAGCCTTTTTTACAATTGTTTACCAAATGCTCATGCGGTTATATGTAATATACCTTTCCATTTAAAATAAATTCCGCTTCTAATGTTATATTTTTTGAGAATGTTTATGCAGATTTGTCATGTTCCAACAAGAATGAAAATCGATGATATATCTAATTTTAGTCATGCTGAAATTCACCGACAAATGCATGTTCACTTGAGATTTATACTAAAACTAATAATTTTTAAGTAATACGCAGCGGTGCATTTATTATCACACATGTGTCTACTCTCTTCTCTTAATTATATAAGAAACTGATTATTTCATCAATCATAACTTCAGAAATAATCTGAATAATAGCCAGTTTGTATTCAAATTAATTTTCAAATCTAGCTTAATAAACATGCAACAATACTTATTGATCTTTGACATTTATACAACTAGGTGCAGTCATTTTAACAAATGCGTCAGCATAAAGTTGTTAAATTGCCTACACTCGTTTGATTGTAAACTACTTTGTCTTTGATCACACCACGCTAGAAACTATGAAATTTTATTCTTGTTGTTTTTTTTATGTCGTTTTGTAGTTAATTGACACTGTCAAACGGAAAAAAATCATCACTTGTTTCAAAGCATTCAATATGATTTTATTTTAAAAGTAGAGTTGTTGTGAGAAATGAAGATTTATAAACCTATAGCTGTCAATCCTACTTTGTAAAAATGTTAGAAATACTTTGTCTATATTGTAAACTGTAACGTGTTAATATGTTCGGAGACATAAAATATGTTGAAACGTAAGTAATTGTTCATGTACCACCACTGTGTTAGTCATATGGCGACTGTCAAGCTTTATTCGTGGAAGAGGACCTCAGGTACCCCTCTGTGCAATATTTCACGACCGGGTACCTGAGTAAAATCGTCGACTTTTCATTTGTTAGCTGGATAGTTTACTCACAGTGCGAATCCGAAGATACCTGATATCAAAAAATAATTTTGTTTGCACATTTTTATCAACATGTCAACGTCTTTCAACATGTCAATTACCCTTTCGCAATAATACACTCAAATTTCCAACAAATAAATAATTTGAGCATCATGCATGACTTTGTTTAACATATTTGACTTGTAGTCTAGTGAAAGGTAATGTCAGGTAATGCGACGAAGTTGATATATTATTAATAATAAAGATCGTTGACAGGTTATATGGTCCTATATAAACGGCTATTTGTAAATATAATCCGAGCCGTAAGGCGAGGATTATATTGCAAACAACCGTTTATATACAGTCATATAACCTGTCAACAATCTTTATAACGAATTTATAATACAGCAAGCATCATTTTTAGAGAAAAAAGTAAGATTTCTTCATGAATCGACAGCAGCCGTGTTTATAAAACTATATAAACGACACGATTATCCAACGAAAAATGACGTTACAAACTTGCAACATTATAATAAATGATAAACACTGGCAAATAAATGGTTTTTTGCTTTTGTAAAATCATTTGATGCTTCCACCGTTTCTGCTTATTTATTAGAAATGACATCTATAATAAGTACTTGTTTCTGCTCGATATAATAAACAAACAGTATTGGGCTGTGCTTTCATATACCGTCACATGCTATCTAACCACCATTAAGTTATCTTTATGATTTATATCCGATTGACATAATTAATGCCAATGAGCTATATAGGCGTGGAAAATACGTGACTGTCTTGTTAGCAACAAGTCGTTTGTGTTTTCAAGCTGTTCTCACAACCTTAAAATAACAAATCACAATGAAGATAATTTGCGCAACTACTTACATATAAGCATTTACACACATCGATTAAATTATACTTGTGAAGTTTGTTTGATATCCCCTAGAAACACGTTTTTGTTTAACATAACCATTGGAAAGAGACCCGATCAACTGCAAAACAAACTCAGTATTAGATCAATGTATATATCATTTAACGAACTACTGCTATCGGTTTAATGAACCAAACAATCGTTTACTCTTCAAGCCATACTTCGATTGCCGCATTAATGGAAAAAACCTATTTCTGGTTTAAAGCATATCTAAACATTTAAATACGCATGGAAATAGGGCCAGTCCCTCTAATTATGCATGCCACGCCCTGCTGAAGCTAAGAAAGAGTCCCATAAAAGCCAGTCGGAAATATCAATTCAACCCACTTTGTAACTACGCGATATACACGCCTTTGAACGCTATTTTCAATCCCCTTTTGTTGTCTCAAATTGTGAAAAAATATCTTATTTAGGCCCCAACACTTGGTTTTGTTTGAGAATTGTTGTTTAAATAAGTGACCACTCTTTCGGCGCCGCCCCCTATTCAAAAGATACATCAGGGGGTTGCAAGAAGGGGGTTGTGCCCCCTTCTGTTTGGGGGCTTTGAAGTGGAGCGGCAGTCCCCCACATCGCCAAGAAAATTTTGAACTTAAGAGAGGTTGAAAATGACCTGAGGCCAATAATAAGGTAACGTTTAACCAACGCTGAAAATCATTTGACCATATCTTAATCCATTGAGAAGTTACATTACTTTGAAAGCAATTTTGATGGGAAAAAATCAACGCAAAATTGTGATTTTAAGCAATTTTGATATGTACCCTCGTTGCCATGGTAACAGGAAATTAAAGACTGAGCATGTCGTTACAAAGGAAATGATCCAGTCAACTTTTCTGTAATGGGTTAAAAGAAATGAATTAAATCATAGATGTTCTGATTTATCATGATTGTTGCATGTTTATTAAAAGTTTCTTTTCCATCACTTTAAGGGAATCATGGGAGTTGACATTCAAACATACCGGGCAAGGATTGGTAACAGGCATTACCGAGGAAGTGATGCAATTGACAGTTGCAGAAGTTTTCGGGGCATTGATGTGGCGATTAAAGTCAGCAATAACCTAAAAATTGTTGGTTGCGTGCTTTTTATTGGCGTTCTTTTAATGATTGCTGGTGTTGAACCAAACCCAGGTCCGAGGGAAAAGGGTAATTATTTTGCAGAAACATACGAAAAATGCAAAATTTACTAATTTAAGCATGACTGTTTTACTATGCACTCGGTTGTTATTAATGTCACATTTTAAAATGTGTATTGGAAAGAACATAAAGTATGTGTGACGTACATGAAATCCGTTAAAATTACAAATGAGTTCCAGCAGGACTTCAAACAAACATTTCTAAATGTCACGTGGGAGTTGTTTCTAGACAGTGTTTATCATGTTTTCTTTACATTAATCATGTAACAATGTATTTTAAAATCCCTCTACCTTGTAAAAATGGAAAATAGATATCATGTTCTATATCACAGTTTGCGAACAAATTACACAATCTTATAATTATCGCTGAATGGGTTATTTCCGTCAATTCGATTTCTATCAATAACTATGTTGTATGACAGTTTTACATTTACAGATTCTGCCAGTTACCAGAGCGATGAGGTTGCAGACATAGAAAAAGGCACAGTATTTTCAAATTTCATGCTTTATATGAATATTTAAAACTTTGGAAATTTGGTAGATGTCATATCGATTAAAATACATATGTTAATTCTATTTTTTCCTTATACTTGATTGACATGACGAAAAAATAAAGATCAATAACTAGTCAAAATAGTGAAGTAGAAGGAGTTGGTAATTTATACAAGATATGAATCACTTTGTTTTTTAATTAACAGTATTACTCGCCCTTTGGACAACCTTTGCTTTGACATGATTGTTTAATATCATAACAATCACCTTTTTAGGTAAAGTAAGTCAAACCCTTTTGTACATTTATACATATTATTATGTCATATATTTTTGGTTTATCCAAAATTAAACAAAGCTGTAACTTGCTTATATTTGTTTAAAAAGAGTACAATAATATCAACAGATGTGTTTACAGATTTATAAATGAATAGCTGCCGGTTTCTTTTTGCCGCGCCAGTTTTTGGCAAATTCAACCCCTATTTTTACGCGCTTTAAAAAAATGAAAACTATCTTTAATTGTCATATTTACTACAAGGTTTAAAAGTTAATATGTTTTGTTTTTCTATCTTTAATACTTTTTTGTAAAAATGCATTTAAAGTTTGCATTTGCCATGGCAAAGTGTGTTTTGCCATGGCATTTCGGCATTTTGCCATGGCAAATAATTTGCCATGGCAAATTAGAATTGCCATGGCAAGGTTTTTCCTACTTTTGCCATGGCAAATTTGCCATGGCAATTATTTTTTTAAAACATCACAAAACTTTCTAAAACTTATCCTATGACATGTTATTGGTCGTATTGTTATGTTTTTATTGTAATCTCTATTTTTTTTCATTTTGCCATGGCAAATTTTGCCATAGAAATGCCATGGCAAATTTCTGCCATGGCAAATTTGCCATGGCAAAAATTTACCATGGTATGTCCATGGCAAAAATTTGCCATGGCAATTGCATAAAAGTTTGCCATGGCAAAATATTATCAATAAAAAAACAACAATTTTTTTCTTTGATTTTTTATTTATAAATTTATACATGGCAAATGACATATTAAGGAATATAATGTTTAAAATTTTAAAGTTAACGCAAAGAATATCTTTTCAACCACGGGTCCTATTAATTAGAATAGATTGTATATGACATTTTAAAATGACAATAATTATGAGATCAAGGATCAAATATAATCATTTATGCTAAATAATAATAATAAAGCTTGAGTGGTAGTTATATAACAGAGAAAATAAGAATCCCTAAAGAAAGCCCAACACTGCAAATTTGAAAATTTGAGCCTGTTCATGGACGGTACTGGTAGTCCAGTGGTAGGACGCGCGCTTAGGGATTGAGAGGTCCTGAGTTCGAACCCCACCAAGGGCACTGCTAATTTCCTTGAGCAAGAAATTTACCTGCGATTGCTTCACTTCACCCAGGTGTAAATGGGTACCTGCGATGGTGGTATAATTCCGTTGCGCCAAAGTGTCGGCTGCACTAAGCGGAGTTAAAAGACTCCCTAGGGATATTGATAGATAGATATCAGTAGCCCGATGACCAGGGGCAATACTAGTAGCTGTAAAGTCGGTGAACGTGCGTAAGCTATAAAATGCAATAACTTTACTTTTACTGGTAAGTGCAAATTACCATCAACGTCCCCTAGCACCGGCTTAAGCAGTATATAACATTTTAACATAAACTGGTAAATTTAGAATGTTGAAACATCCGCATATGTGTTCATATGGTGGTTATCATGGAACCTTTAATGTGACACGTTAGTACCATTCCATGAAAAGCGGCATATTACAATATGCTTATAATAACATAAATAACAGACTTTACTTGTTAACTATATATAACTTTTAAACACCACAATTTTGTATAAATATGTGCAATTACATTTTTTGTTTCCGGTTTCTTCTAGTATCATGCAGTCTGCGTGATAAAGGACTGCTAAGGAAAGACAAGGAAATGATGGGAGATGCATTGGTACAAATGTTATGGAGGGCACCCTTATAACCTTGTTATTTGTAAAATATTCCGTTAACGCAACAAGATCATCTCGAGCAAACAGGACGTTTCGCCCCTAACCAAATCGGCCCTTAACAACTGCTAGTCCCAAAAATGCGCAAATTCTTGGTATAATGAGTAATGAGTGTATTAATTTGCTATCCAAAGGAAAATATAGTCAATCTTTGTAAAATATTTTAGTATCATTTATAAAGTGGTCTGTGGAATGTTTTAATTTTCAATTTTATTCTGATGGTACTATATTTACCAGGATTGGCAGGAGTGTAAGAATTAAGTGGCCCATCATCAAATCATACGGAATCAATCCTGCGCGAAATTAATCATTCTTTTAGGATAGTAACCTCAATTTCAAGAAGGAAATGTTCTAGTTGAAGCGAAAATGGAAAAGTTACCGTCCCTTAAAGAGTACTCATCATTTGCATTAAATCAAAACACATATTTCCCGTCGATAATTTGTATAAACTTTTACTGTAAAATATGATAAACAAGACCAACAAGGAAAGGAAGTATGTTTGCGGTGGTTCCCCCGTCATGTAATTTCGTTAATTCGTTATGCATATTGAAAATGTAAGCAACGATTGATAAGAGGCCGGGAAATATATTTGAATATTCGAAACACTACAGAATATTCGAACATTTAAAAACGAATAAGAACATTCGAAAAACAGAAGAAATGTTGTATTTTTTGTACATTCAAATTTCAATCAAGATCGTAAATTAAACCCTTGACCTTTACTTGTACCGGTGTTCATATGTTTGTATAACGCGTGACATCGACTGTCGCCAATTAACTGTGAAAAGTTGTGAGTATAGTTTATCAAAAGGGCAACCGTTTCACAGTTTGTAATTAACCTGTTAAAAGTATATAATGTAAAATTTTCCGATTTTAATTATCGTATTTTATTGTTTTCTGTGCTATAATATCTAGGTGGCGTGAGGGATGTTGCACTTATTTATTATCCCTCATGTATAGACTCAATCAAACCGAGTCTGCAATTTTCATGTAATTTTGTTGTGATTAATGCTTCCTGTGGATCACTTTGTTTCCAGATTTTTTTCGATCAATCTATAATTGTCTTCAATTGTGTAAAGAAAAATGAATTTGCACGTATTAATCGGCGCGTTATGAAGGCACGGAAAGTGTCATCCCTAAAGACCAAACTCGTCAAACTTGAAAATATTGCATGCTCGGTTTGATTGACCCTGTTTATGGACGGTAATGTCAAGTGCAAACTACCGTCTACGCCCCCTTGTACCGTCTTTAGCAGAAATCAACATTTTAACATAGAATGGTGAAACTTTGAATTTAGAAACATCCGCAGATGTGTTCAAACGGCGGGAATCATGGAACCTTCAATGTGACACAGAAGTGCCATTCCATGAAAGGCGGCGTATTGTCCCCTAGTACTAATCAAAGGGCTGCAAGCTCTGTGATATTTTCTGATCTTTGCAATTTCAATCGTACTGTATATCTGTATGTATTTTCCTGTATATCCTGACATCGCTAAAAATAGCATTTTAATTGATTAAAATCATATTCATCCGCGTGCATGTATTGACAATTCTATAAGTCAACGCTACTTTTAAACTTTAAATGCGTTGTAATTTGTTTGATACTTGTAACAAAAAAATATTTCTTCCTTTTACATCGCAAGTTTTAAGCTGTTTTGAGAACTACATTGTATATACATGTATATAAACATGAGGACACAGAATCTAGTATAGCAGTGTTTGTTTATCTCATCATATTTATTTACTGTCTTTTAGAAATAGTTCGGGCGTTTGGTTTACCAAGTACCAAAAAATGCCCCATCGTATATATTGATAAAAATAAAATTAAAGGTGTATAGAACACGGAGCGTAAAATTGGTAGGTATTGGTAGTTGGATATTCGATTTAATGGATATATAGCAAGATAGATGTGCTCTTCAATATTGATTCATGTTCGTCATGCGAAAAACTGCTGACCAGTTAAACTACTGAAAATTGCTGACCTCTTATTTTAGATAATTATATAGATAAAATTATGTATAGATGTAAATTTCTAGTACCATCGCACTATCGTATTGTCGCCATTGCATTATCGCACTGTTGGCATCGCATTATCGGCATCACACTATCGCATTATTGCACTGTCGGCATCGCATTGTCGCCATCGCACTGTTGTATTGTCGTCCTTGTTCTATCGCACTGTCTTATTGTTGCCCTCTAGATTATAAAGTATAACTACGATGGCCCTCACGGTATTCCATAGTAATATGCATATGTCACAGTCTGTACGTTGTTACCACTTCATCAACGTTTTCTTCGGAAACACACAAGCATCTGTCGCTGTACGTAGTACAAAGTCGATAGCATCATGCCTATGATCTTATTTTGAAAACAAAATTATGTTCCCATAAGATGAGGGGTTTTTTATTGAAAAGTCCCGGATTACACTCTCTGTAAGTGTAACAGCATATGAAACATAATACCGGTACTGTTGAACTGTTGCTTGAATGTGAGGAAAATCGATAAATCATACGCATCCTCTAGTGGAAAGCATAACACATGTTTGATTTTTATAACGTTTATTTAATAGTGTTCGTGATAAAAATGCATGTCGAAATGAATTACTTATCTGTAGTAATGTGCGTATACCGTAGCTAATCACCTGTATTTATATATTTGAAGTAAGTATTTTCTTCTACATTAATCCTATCAAATGTAATCAGTTTAAGAATAAGTTCTCAGCTGGATAACAACATTTATATCTGAAACAAATATTAGATATATGACATACTTTTATTGGGATTTCATAAAATAAATTCGGCCAAAGTGCACGTGACTGCACAGATTTTCAAGCGCCTCAGAAACAGAGAACGATGAAATCACGCGTATTATTTTATCCCGGAAAAGACCCCAACAGTTTGATAAGCAAACATTAGTTTCACTGACTAGACACTTATATAGGGTTTCTTTCATAATATTCACAGTTTCTG